GAGGAGGAGAAGGAGGAGGAGGAGGAGGAGAAGGAAGAGGAGGAGGAGGAGGAGGAGGAGGAAGAAAGTATGCTGAGAATCAGTGGTTCTTGCCTACAATCCTAGCTACTCAGAAGGCTAGATTTGGAGGATTAAAGTTGAATCAGTCCAGGAAACTTTGTCACCAAAAGTGCCAGCAAAATGAACAAAATGTTGGACTGGAGATGTGACTCAAATGGCAGAGCACTAGCCAAGTAAACGAGTTGAACAAGCTTGAGTCCCAAAAGTTCAAATCCTAGTAATGGAAGAAAAAATTAGCCAAGTGCTGGTGCTCACACCTATAATACTAGCTACTCAGGAGGCTGAGATCTGAGCATTGTGGTCTGAAGTCAGCCCAGGCAGGAAAGTCCATGAGACTCTTATTTCCAACAAGCCACTCAGAAAAAGCTGGAAATGGTGCTATGGCTCAAATGATAGAGGGCTAGATTTGAGCAAAAGAAACTTAAGGACAGGAGCTGGGAAGGTGGCTCAGTGGTAGAGAGCTTGCCTTGCATGTATGAGGCCCTGGGTTTGATTCCTCAGCACGACATAAGCAGAAAAAGCCAGAAGTGGGGCTGAGGCTCAAGTGGTAGAGCCTTGATCTACAGCTGAAGAGCTGGGGGACAGTGCCCAGGCCCAGAGTTCAGGTCCCACAACCGACCAAAAAAAAAAAAAACAAAAAAAAAAAAAAAAACTTAAGGACAGTACCCAGGACCTAAATTCAAGCACCAGGACTGCAAAAAAAAAAAAAAATCCTAATAAGACAATTCAACAAGACAGGTTTAAGTCACAGGGTGTTTAGGAATAAAACTATCACTCCCATCACATTGGCATTTATAAAGTGAATGAGATATTAATGAGTATCATTAATATCTTTATGAGTATCATTAATATCTTTATAGCCAGACCTCTCAGCTCCTTAACTGACGGTCCCGAGCCTCTGCTTGTAATGACTGATAGATGGTTCTCAATCTGCTTTGGCCTCCAAACACTTTTTTTTTTTTTTTGGGTCCGGTCGTGGGGCCTGAACTCTGGGCCTGGGTGCTGTCCCTCAGCTCTTCAGCTCAAGGCTAGCGCTCTACCACTTGAGCCACAGCGCCACTTCCAGCTTTTTTCTTTTTGCTTATGTGGTAGCTGAGGAATTGAACCCAGGGCCTCAGGCATGCAAGGCAAGCGCTCTACCACTGAGCCACCTTCCCAGCCCCTCCAAACACTTTTTTATTCTTTATAAAATACTTTCTCAGGAGTAGTTCTTTTGAAAAACATTTCTTGCCTGTCGCCAGTGGCTCACAGCTGTAATCCTAGCTACTCAGGAGGCTGAGATCTGAGGATCATGATTCAAAGCCAGCCAGGGCAGGAATGTCCATTTGACTCTTATCGTCAATTAACCACCAGAAAACCAGAAGTGGCACTGTGGCTCAAATGGTAGAGTGCTGGCCTTGAACTGAAGAGCTCAGGCATAGCAACAAGGCCCAGAGTTCAAGCCCCATGACAAAAAAAAAATTTTTTCTTAAAAATTATGGTTTTGCCAGGTATGATGACACATACCTGTAGTGTCAGCTATTCAAGAGATTAAGGTAGGAGAATCACTTAAGCCCATGAATTTAAGACCAGCCTGAGAAACATAGTAAAAACCTCCCCAAATCTAGGAGCTCTATCCATTTGAATCATTAGAAAAGAAGCCACTTAAGCACTGCTATACCTGCCAAGAGGACCTGTGAGGCATATGTCACTGAGAAGAGCACTGAGGACATCTAATGAAGCCCATGGGAAATGCAAGAGAGCCCTGGGATTTAAGACAGGAAGTGATGAAGCTGAGCACCAGTGGCTCACGCCTGTAATCCTAGCTACTCAGGTAGCTGAAATTTTAGGATTGCCGTCCAAAGCCAGACCAGGCAGGAAAAGCCATGAAACTCGTATCTCCAATAATCCACCAGAAAACGGGAAGTGGTGTTGTGGCTCAAATGGTATAGCGATCACCTTGAGCTGAAGAGCTGAGGGACAGCGCTCAGACCCAGAGTCCAAGCCCCATGACCAAAAAAAAAAAAAAAAGATAGGAAATTATGATGGCCCATTCTGTGAAAAAATAATCTCTGAAGAATAAAAATGATTACATTCTGGAAGTTATTTGGTAAGCTTTATGGTAACAATATTTGTAACAAATATTGTGAGATGAACAAATTAGCAATTTTTTTAATGTTTGCATTTAAATGAACAGTTCAAACAGGAAAAGTCTATAAGACCTTTATCTCCAATAACTGTGAAAAAGCCAGAAGAGAAAGTGTGGTTCAAGTGGTAAAGCATCATTCTTGAGCAAAAAAGAAACCAAAAAGCCAAGGCTCTGAGTTCAGTTCCCAATACCAGCACACACACAAAAATGTCCAAAATTGTAGGTCTCCATTACTTTTTACATTCTTTGATTGACATCAACTCAAAACCTTATCCTTTACCCTCTTCATCTTTCTGTCCAGGACTTAATCATACATAACAGACATCTCCATACATGCGAGGAAAATGTCAACTAAACATGTCAACCTGAGTTTTTCTTCCTTCCTTTCTTCTTTCTTTTGTTTTCCTTTCTTTTCCTTTTGTGTCATGCCACATTACTTGGACTTCAACTCAGAGCACTGTGGACATCTAATTGAGGACTACAACAAATGCATGACAGCCCTGGGGTTTAAGGCAGGGATGGCTTCAAACCTCAATCCTAAAATCTCAACCTCCTGAGCAGCTAAGATTAGAGGTGTGAACTATCAGTGCTTGGGTTGCTTGAATTTTTATTTTTGACTATTTTGTAAAAATTATCTTTAAATAGTTGTACAATTTTCTTTAAGGAGTTGTCATTTTATGAGCACAATGCATCATGTCACCCCTGAGTTTTTTGAATGACAGCCTATATGATTTGGTGCCATGATTATAATGGAAGTTTGGAGAAGAAAAAGAAATTAACTTACATTTGCTAGGGCTTTCGTCAAAGTCCCACTCCCATCCATCGTACACAGGAAGTCCTTAGAAAATTTCATCTTCACCTTGCTATTCTTGATCATGAGCACCCCAATCCCCTTGAATGTGAACTCCACAGTCTGCTTAGTGGAAATGGATCGTGAGAGGAAAAGCAATGTCTCCTTAACACACCCTTCCACCGTGTCCCTGGTGAATGGACACTCCAGAGAGATCATAACAAAATTAAGTGGAACCACTGGAATGTCACCTAGAGAAGAAATAGATAGTTGAGGTGGAGAAGAGGACATGGCGACTCCAATAAGGACCTAATTCTTACTACTCCAAAACCGTCTTTGTGAAGCCTTTAGTTGTCCTTAATGGAATACGATTACTACAGACAGGTAAGGATTTTAACACATACTAAGCAGTACAATTTTCCCTAAAAGTACAACAATGGTTTATGCTCAGAATAAAAATAATTACCGTGTGTGTGTGTGTGTGTGTGTGTGTGTATGCACACGCACCAGTACTGGGGCTTGGACTCAGGCCCTGGGCACTGTCCTTGACTTTTTTACTCAAGGCTAGGGCTCTACCATTTCAGCCATAGCTCCACTCTTTGCCTTTTGGTGGAAAATTGGAGATAAGAGTCTCATGGACTTTCCTGCCTGGGCTGGCTTTGAAATGCAATCCTCAGATCTCTGCCTCCTGAGGATCTAGAATTACAAGCATGTATCACTAGTGCCTGGTAAATAATTACCTTTCCAAACAACACTGTACACAAACTTTAAACAGAAATAACTAATTGCTTCTATTCACCAAAGATTTTCTGAAAATTTCTATCCCCTTATTTTTTAGAAAATGCTCTTGCAATATTTGCATATTGTATCATTTTAGACCATTATATCATAATACAATAAACATATATAATTTTAAACCATGTTAAATATTTTAAACAACAGTCATGTCAGTAGACGTTATTCTAATTGAGTTGATCTTACATAAGGGGATCATATGAGTGACTTGTAGGAAGCTTTTCTTCTTTAATAAACCTATAAAGGACATTGCAAAGGGACAAGATCATTTCTAGTATGAAGAAAGCACAAGGTCAGTTTAGCTAGAACTAATACAGGAGCCACACAAGATCCACAAGTTAGGAAAAGGGTAAGTAGCAGAGAAGATCAAGATCATAAAGTCAGCAGGCACCAGTGGCTCATGTCTATAATCGTAGCTACTCAGGAGGCTGAGATCTGAAGATTGTAGTATGAAGTCAATTAACCAGCAAAAGGTTTGAAGTAGCGGTATAGCTCAAATGGCAGAGCTCTGTTCTTAAGAGAAAAAAAAAAAATCTAAGAACAACACAAGCCCCTTAGTTCAAGCTCCAGTACCAGCACGCACGCACACACACACACACACACACACACACACACATACACACACACACACACACATAAGAAAGATAATAAGATCCAAAAAGACAACCTCTTTTTTTAGGTAAATAAATATAAATAAAAATTCTAGCCCCCCCCCGCCCCTTCCTTTTTAGCCATGCTTCTCCACCATGCATGGTTGGGGCAGCAGTTTGGTAAATAAACCTCTTTTCCTGCCTGAATATCGAGTGTTTTCTTCATCGGCTACCTAATGAAACCTACTTATTTAATATACCTTACATATGGTGCCGTGACTCAGATGGGGTTTTTGAGTTGGAAATGTTAGAATTTCCTAACCCCTTTTCTGCGAACCGAACTGCAAGATTTTTCACCAATACCATCGCTGGCCTTCTTATCCACGTCCACACCACTTCTCTACTCTGTCTCTCAATGCCTCATGAGACTTCTCCAGACTTCATCCAAGAGACTTGCCTCCTCCAGACTTCATCTAATGACTCAACACCTAAGTGACAGCTGCTGCCTGCTGCCTTCTCCCAGAGGGGACCACATCTCAGCCTTTTACCCCTACTGTTGATGCCCCTGGCCAGCAGGAAATAGCCAGAGAGAATCTTTGCCCTTTTTCATAATTATCAAGAGGCTGGAATGTAAGGTCTGCACATGGACACCTCCCTCCCTCTTGGCTAAGTTTCCACCCAGTATCTCTTACCTAGGTAACTGGCAGACCTGGAAGCAGTCACCTTCTCCTCCTACTAGGTCACATCCTGGGCCAACTCTGGTCATATGCCTCCCATCTGACCTTAGGAGGGTCCCAGAGCCTGAGGTGATATCCAGATCCAGTGTGGCCACACCTTTCCCCCACTTGGCCACACCTCTTCCTGTCCCTGGCCTAGATAAGTCCTGGCCCAGAGATGGGTTCCCCCCTCCCTGGGTTCCCCCCCCCCTTCCCTTTTTAGCTATGCTTCTCCACCATGCATGGCTGGGGTAGCAGTTCGGTAAATAAACTTATTTTCCTGCCTGAAAAAAAAATTCTAAGAGTGTAGGGTTTGTTGGGCACCAATGGCTCTCACCTGTAAATCCTAGCTACTCAGGAAGCTGAGATCCAGAAAGGATCTAAACTGGTTCAAAGCCAGACCATCTACAAAATAGCCAGCAAAGAATCAGGCTGGAGGCTTGGCTCAAGTAGTAGAACATCATCCAAGCAAGCAATGAAATCCCAAATTCAAACTCAGGTACCAGAAAAAAAATGTTTAGGAGACTCTAGAAGAATATACACCAAAATTTTGACAACAGCTACCTCTTGGAGCCATCAGGGCTTCAACTTCTGTGTGTGTGTGTGTGTGTGTGTGTGTGTGTGTGTCAACTTCTGTGTGTGTGTGTGTGAACTTCTGTGTGTGTGTGTGTGTGTGTGTGTGTGCGCGCACGCGCGCGCACGTACTTGTACAGGGGCTTGAATTCAAGGCCTGGACACTAGCCCTTATCTTTTTCACTCAGTATTGTCATTCTACCACTTTAGCCATAGCTCTACTTCTCGCCTCTTGATGATTCATCAGAGATAAGTATCTCATGGTCTTAACTGCCTATGCTGGCTTCAAGTTATAGTCCTCATATCTTAGCCTCCTAAGTAGCCAAGATTACAGATGTAAGTCTCCAGCACCCAGTTTCGACTTCTTATTCAACATACATTTGTATTTTCTGGATTTTTTTTTCAATATCAAGCATGTATTGTTTGTGTAATTTTCTGAATATTTTGATTTTCTAAAGTAAACAAAACAACATCTTATATATGTATTTATTTATATGATAGAAGCATGTTTAGTTTATTTATACAGTCAAACCACAATCCCTAAATAAATACTTCTTTATAACCACTTTTAACTTCATAGAATCTGGAATATGAGTGAGAGTCTATACAACTCTGTGGCATGACTTTTATAGACTTAGTTTCTCTGAGCATCAAATCTTTTCCTTCTGCTTTAAAACCATTGTGTGGAGACTATGGTTTCCCACCTTGACCCTCCCTTGTAGAAGGTACGACATGAAATCTAAGTCCCTCAAACCAGACACAAAAGCCAAGTTGGGTCATGTTCATTTGTCTCCCTAGGCCAGTGATCTGGCAAGGCCTCCAACATTAAGATGACTTACCAGGTGAATACACTTTGTTCTGTTTGAGTCCATGCAACTGTAGTAACTTCTCTGCCATGATAAACACAGGCCTCTGGAGCACAATTATCTTATTTCCCATCTCAAGCTTTTGTCTTGTGAAAGTGAAAATTCCAAGTCCAAAAATCTGAACCCCCTATCAGGAGAATAAAAGCAACAAACACAATTCAATGAAAGGATGAAGAAAAAAATAATCTTAATTCTGCTATCAAAAAGAGAAGTGAAGAGAATTTAAGCTTGGGCCTTAAAATGACCTCTAAAACCCTTCTTGGCTGTAAAAGTTTATTATTATATACTTCAAATAAATTTGGTTTAAAAATGTAAGAGGAAGACCCATGATGCTTTGCAGATATCAGATACTACATTTTCACAATTACAAGGCTATGCGGAACTTCCATGAATATTATAGTTTCTTCTATCTAATCTAAAATTAGATTTGTCCTAAATTGTATATTTTCAATTTTAATCATATGTTATAGAAGGGAGCATAAGAATCTTTGTTCTCTTATTCTCCTTTTCTCTCCATATCAGACAACCTAGCACCCACAATGTGTGGTTCTACAAGGTAGTGAGCTTGGCTGATGGGTAGAAACAAATGTTGTTTTCCCTCAAAATTTGTTTCCGTTATCATGTATGATGCCATAGAGATAGCATTATCCTATATCAAAGGTTACAAATTCAGATTGCTTCCAAGACTCAAGAAAGCATGCAAGGGAAGGAAAGGAAGAGTGGAAGGTGGCTACTGTAATGGGAAACGGGGCCCAAAAACATGGAGATTTAAACTAGCATAACCTCAGTGTAAACTCTGATTCAACCTGTAGGCTTCTGGATTCTATCTTGACTCACTTGGTGACGGTAACCCTTGGACAATGTAACCTCCTCCAGATCCGGGTGAGCTAAATTCCCAGAATGGAGGATACATCTGATCCCCACTCCCCTAACAACCTAACCCACACTCTTATGGTTTTGACAAAGGCTGACCAGTAAAGCAAATAATCTTGCTCAACTTGCTCCACCACCTGCTTATGAGAAAAAAACCTGCCTTTTGCCCGCCAAAATGTAAACCCGGCATTTTGCTAGATAAATTTGCATGCCATTTTAAACCAAAGTGATAGGCTGGTTTAAACACCCATTATGAGATGAACTGTAACCTCATTGGCCACCTGCGTGGGGTCTGGTATGACTGTACAATGCTTTGTGTGTGTTACAATCCCATTGGTCACCTGCGCATGACTGGGCTCAACCTCTCGAATTTTGCCTTTAAAATTCAAAGTATGCACAGTGCATAGATACCATGGCTGGCCTTCACGTCCACGTCCACACACTTCTCTACTCTGGTGAGTGAAACTACTTTCTACCGTTCTCTGTCACTCAGTCTCTGTCCAGACGTGGCGCCACACCAGAGAGCTCCTACAGCCTTTAGCTGAAAGGCCGGTCACCTCCGAAACTGAGGATGCTTGGTTTTGGGGGCTTGGCCACCCAGAGGGCTCTGGGGGAAGTCGGGATGCCACTTCTGCCTGGTCAGCTCTCCTTCACTCACCAGACTGACTCTCCTACTCATTTAATGGGGTGCTGCGAATCACGCCTGAGCCATGAAACCCCTTTGCAATGCCTCCTGCGCTCCCTGGAAAGCCAGAGAGCCTAATTTTATGCCATTGTCAGATGTACACAGTTTTTGCTACTGCAATGGTAAATGGTCAGAAGTCTGGTTAATTTTAGGTTCTCTTTGCTCTCTCTCTGCCATTCATGTCCAACTTTCTATCCTTTTTTTCTACAACTTTTTGACTTGTGCCTTGAAAAGCGTGACACAGGCTGGGTCCCAGGGATCCCCCTCTAGGTTCCCTCTCAAATGCTAGCCAATGTAGGCTTGATCTATGTTCAAGGCTTCTTTGCATTTTTTCAGAAATTCGCCATCTTGAATTTGCCATCTTGGCCACATGGTGGGTTAAGGGTTTGGCCCCATCTGACCCTTAACCTTCCACCAAGCTTACTACTCCACCCATCTGTTCTAAGGTGCCTTGCTAACAAGTTGCTCTTTTCACAGGCCCTGGCAACTGAGGCCCAACCATCTGATACGCTTTGTTAGCAAAGATGTCTACACATTGTTGTCAAAAATTTTAGGTTTTGGGTTTTGCCTTTTTTGTTTTGTGTTGTGTATTCTACTACTGACTATGTGGTTCTAAAATATTGGGCATATCTGTGCTAAAATTCTCATCACATCTAATGAGTTTTGTCATTTCAGAATATTTGTTGGCAATTCTTTTTTTTTTTTTGGCAATTCTTGATAAGGACCAGGTAAGCTCTACTTATTCTATTTGATCTCCTTGTTGCTTTAATTGGAAATAATAAAGGACTTTTGTGGCAAAGATTTCAGTTCAAAGCCAACCCTGGCTGAAAAATCCCTAAGACCCCATCTCCCAACTAACCTGCAAAGAGCCAGGCTGGAAACATGGCTCAAGACTCTTATCTCTAACCAGCCAAACTCTGCAAGTGGTACTATAACTCAAAGTGTTTCAGTGCTGGCCTTGAGCAGAAGTGCTCAGGGACAGTGCCCAAGCCTTGAGTTCAAACCTCCTTGAATACTAACTGGGACAAGCCATCCCAGCAATGAGCACCTAGACTCAGCCAGTCTGGGGAACAAGAGAACATGGAGAGGAGTAAGAGGAGATGATGTCACATCAGCTATTTTGTGGCTGCCCTCTCAAAATTAACCAGAGCCAGAAGGTCAGTAGAAGTAAGTAGCTTGCCCATCCAATGTCTATACCTGTCTACTTATTAACAACAGGAATTTATATTGTTGCCTTTGTCACCTGACTTCTCTACCTAGTTGCCAGATGTCAGAAGTAGCTAGGGACATTTCTACCAACATTTGCAGCCCCAAGTCCTTCCTCTTGCCATTTATTTGCTCTCTAGTATTTTTTTTCCAGCCCCTCAATGCTCATAAGACTTCTCCAGACTTCATCTAAGGACTCATGCCACCAAGGGACAGCTGCTGCTCACTGCCTTCCCTGGGAGGGGACCAAATTCCAGCCTTTTACCCCTATTGTCGATGCCCCTTGTCAGCAGAAAGTAGCCAGAGAGAATCCGTGCCCTATTTCATGATTATTAAAAGGCTGCAATGTAAGGTCCGCTCCTGGATGGCTAGCAGACTCCATCCTCCTCACAGCAAAGTCTCCACCTAGTACCTGCGTTACCTAGGCAACTGACATCTGGAAGAGGTCACATCTGCATCCGCTGAGGTCACATCTGAATTTGATGTGGCCACACCTTTCTCCACCCATACCCTAGATAAGGCCTAGCCCAGGCCCAGACTTTCTCTCTCTGTTCTTTTCTAGCTCTTTCTCAGCTCTTTCCTTCTCTTCTCTTTCCCAGCTCTCTTCTCTTTCCTAGCTCTCTCTTTCCCACCTTTCTCAGACGCTATCTTTCCTCTCTCTTTTGCCAGCCACGTGGAGTGCCAACCTTGCCTGGTTCCAGCAGGTCTACTAAATAAACCTACCCCTTACCTGAAAAAAAAAAAA